GAGTTTCCATCACATCAGCATCCATGGCTATCTAAAAGCAGAAACGTATCTACAACTTGAGCAAAAACAGAAACTTAAAGGCAAAGCAAATATCAAAATGCCGTTTCAAGTATCAAACTAAATTCGAGGAGTTCTTCAACAGCCGAAGCACAGTGAAATAGACAAAAACCCAGAAAAAAGGAGATGAAAAAAAAACGAGAAAACGAAACTTTTCAATGTTAGAACAAAAACGAAGAAATTGCTAACATTTTCAGCAGTTTTACGAAGATCAGACAAAAACCCAAAGAAACAAAGAAGAAAAGAGACAAACCAGCGATCAAGGACGGAGTAAAGGAGAAAACTTTGGATACTTTATAAATAGTGGAGATAAAGAAAAGCTTACTGAAGAAGAAGAGGAAGAAAGGTTTCACGAAGACACGAAGGATGAAGCGATGATGCCCGAGGGGTATTAATTAACTAATTTAATTTCGAAAATAAAGAGACTTGGAAAATTGAGGTTGAAAGAACTTTTATTGACTTGATATGGGGACATGGCGACATTGACAACTCGGGAGAAAAATCACTCTTTTCCTCATGTCACTGTCGCTTCCGTTGACGTCAATTTTTTTAGAATTATACAAAATATATAAGCAAAATGTGCTTTTTTTACTTTGGGCAAGGATTAGGAAGTAATTGCTGTAAGAATTTTGGATAGGTTTCTCCTTTATTGCTTTAATAGTAGTAATTAACTAGGTAGTAGGGACCTAAAGCTTTTTTTAAAGTTACACTTACCAACCACACCCTAAGATATTGGTACATAACAATGTGGAATAAGTTAAGATTTTGAATGCCAATTTTTTTTTTTTTCTGAAATAGTTGATTTTAACCTGCTTTCTTTGTAACATTTTACAAAATTCTTAATACTTCCATCTCTGAGGCATAGAAATTCGACTTCAATTTTCCCAACTGTATACTCTGAAATGTTAATCTCTATCAAATAAGCAGAAAGAAAGATAAACAACCCTAAAATGTGTTTCTTACTCATGAAACATCAAAAACTTACAAAGACTGTTGTTCTTTTGAATTCTCATGGAACTTTAGAGGTTTTGCAGATAACGTAAAGTAGCAACAATGGAACCACAAGACTGTAACCTGGAAAATGAAGCACATTCATCTCATAAGCTCTAGCTAGAGCCCAGCAATTCTGTAAAG